TATTCTGCTTTTTTAATAATTATTGTATTTCTGGGTACCTATACAATCTAGTAATCTTTTTTTACTTACCTTAATTGTTTCTCTTCAAAAAAAAATATTTATTTTTAAATTAAACCTTTGAATCAAAATCATTAGTGTTATACCAGGTTTCAGCTACTTTTTTTGCTCATTTGTGGTATACCAGATTTTAATCACTTTTGTTTATTTTTAATAAATCAATGGTATATCAAATTTTACGAATTCTGTTCACTTCCAAAAACAAATTCTATGACCTTCACACAATATGCAAAATGTTTGGTAAAAAATTGTGGTTTCCATAAAATGCATTTACAGATGTAATTCTGTAGTTAGAATTACAACTGGACAATTTCATCTCGATTTATTTTATTAATGTTGATAAAATTTTAAATAATTTAAAGTAATAAATTAAATATTTTATTTCTATCCTTCCATAAATATTTCGAAATTATTGTGCTTTTTTAATAATTATTGTATTTCTGAGTATACAATCTAGTACTTAATCTTTTTTTATTCCTTAATTGTTTCTCTTCAAAAAATAAAATATTTATTTTTAGGAAACTAAACCTTTGAATCAAAATTATTAGTGTTATACCAGGTTTCAGCTACTTTTGCTCATTTGTGGTATACCAGGTTTTAATCACTTTTGTTCATTTTTAAGAAATCAATAGTATATCAAATTTTACGAATTCTGTTTTTTYCCAAAAATAAATTCTGTGTTCTTCACACAATATACAAGATGTAGAGTAATCCAAGGTTTGGTAAAAAATTGTAGTTTAATAAAATGCATTAACGTATGTAATTCACTGTAGTCAGAATTCCAAATAGACAATTTCATCCCGATATATTTTATTAATGTTGATAAAATTTTAAATAATTTAAAGTTCATTTGTTCATCGTTTCCATACCAAGAAGATCCAAGAAGAAGAATTTAAAGTAATAAATTAAATATTTTATTTCTATCCTTCCATAACTATTTCGAAATTATTCTGCTTTTTTAATAATTATTGTATTTCTGGGTACCTATACAATCTAGTAATCTTTTTTTACTTACCTTAATTGTTTCTCTTCAAAAAAAAAATATTTATTTTTAAATTAAACCTTTGAATCAAAATCATTAGTGTTATACCAGGTTTCAGCTACTTTTGCTCATTTGTGGTATACCAGGTTTTAATTACTTTTGTTCATTTTTAAAAAATCAATGGTATATCAAATTTTACGAATTCTGTTCACTTCCAAAAACAAATTCTGTGACCTTCACACAATATACAAAATGTTTGGTAAAAAATTGTGGTTTCCATAAAATGCATTTACAAATGTAATTCTGTAGTTAGAATTACAACTGGACAATTCCATCTCGATTTATTTTATTAATGTTGGTAAAATTTTAAATAATTTAAAGTATTAAATTAAATATTTTATTTCTATCCTTCCATAAATATTTCGAAATTATTGTGCTTTTTTAATAATTATTGTATTTTTGAGTATACAATCTAGTACCTAATCTTTTTTTATTCCTTAATTGTTTCTCTTCAAAAAATAAAATATTTATTTTTAGGAAACTAAACCTTTGAATCAAAATTATTAGTGTTATACNCAGCCACTTTTGTTCATTTTAAAATAATTAATAGTATATCCAGTTTTAACGGATTTTGTTTACTCCTTTATTAAATTCTATGATCTCCACTCACACAATATACTAGACAGAGTAGTAATCCAAGGTTTGATAATAAATTATAAAGTTTTTATAAAAAGCGATGACAGATATAATTCAGTGTAGTAGAAGTTAGAAAATTCCTTTAATAGATGCAGAAGAAAAAAAAACTAAGTTAATAACTCAGGTAACTAATTAATTACTATAGAAGATAATAAATTAACAAAAATAATAGTTGTGAATTACGACATATGACGTCTGATGCATGCTTATTAAATAGGACTATATTCTTCACCGTTGTATTTTTGCGTAATAAATGAGGTAGTAGTAAAAAAATATTGTATAAAACACGGTAGAAATTTTTTTATAGTCTTGCATTTTTAGTTCCCTTGATGCTACGCATGTCGGGTAATAAAAGTTTGGCTACAAAAAACTTCTACATCTTGTGATATAATATACTATTTACACTTCCTTAATTGTTTCTTTTCAAAATAATATTTTTACCTATTTTTAGTCAACTAAACCTAGAACTAGAAACTTAAATGTCAAATTAGATATTTTTTTAGTTCCCTCAATACTAGGTATCTCGGGTAATAAACAGTTTGGTCATAAAAAACCTTCTACACTTTGTGTGGTCAACTAAACCTGAACTAGAAACATAATAATATGATATGAGTTTTAAAGTTTACAGTTTCAATAAAGTGTTGGTTCCAAGTAAAATAATTAATGGTACACCAGGTTTCAGCCACTTTTGTTTATTTTAAAATAATTAGTGCTATACCACGTTTCAATCACTTTTGTTCATTTTAAAATAATTAATAGTATATCAACTTTTAACAGATTTTGGTTTTACTCACACTATATACTTGTTTTAGAGTGGTAATCTAAGGTTTGATAATAAATTATATTTTATATAAAAAGCGATGACAGATACAATTCAGTGTAGTTGAAAACCCCAACTGAACAATTTCATCCCGAATTTTCTTTTTATTAATATTGAACAAATTTTACACAAAAGGATATTAAATAGTTTGAAGTAATAAATCCAATATAATAAGTGTTTATTTGGCGTCATAGTTGGCGGTGATATAAGTGTGTTGTGAACAGACCACAATTTTTAATACGCCAAACGAGGTATTAAATGTCAAATTAGATAATTTTTTAGTTCCCTCGATACTAGGTATCTCGGGTAATAAACAGTTTGGTCATAAAAAACCTTCTACACTTTGTGATATAATATACTATTTTCACTTAACATAATTGTTTCTTTTCATAATACTGTTTTTACCTATTTTTGGTCAACTAAACCTGAACTAGAAACATAATAATATGATATGAGCTTTAAAGTTTACAGTTTCAATAAAGTGTTAGTTCGAATTAAAATAATTAATGGTACACCAGGTTTCAGCCACTTTTGTTCATTTTAAAGTAATTAGTGCTATATATACCACCTTTCAATCACTTTTGTTCATTTTAAAATAATTAACAGTATATTAAGTTTTAACGAATTTTGGTGACTTTTACTCACACTATACTTGTTTTAAAGTGATAATTCAAGTTTCGATAATAAATTATATTTTATATAAAAAGCGATGACAGATACAATTCAGTGTAGTTGAGAATCCCAACCGGACAATTTCATCCCGAATTTTCTTTTTATTAATGTTGATGAAATTTTACACAAAGGGATATTAAATAGTTTGAAGTAATAAATCAAATATTTTGCTTCTCTCCCTCCAGCTTTTAACTGGAGTAAAAACGTCTCAACGTCTACTTGAAACTGGGAAAATTCCTCAAATTCGTCCCAAGAATCTTCGTTTTTCTTCGTCCACTTGCAATAAAGTGATTAATGATAACTTTCCATTGTCTAGAATTAAATTAATTTTGCTGAAAACTGTAAATAAAATGCAATTTCGTGGAAAGTTTGGTAATTGAGACACCTCCAAGATGGCTGTTTGTTCCACTAAATAACACAAATACCAGTGAGGATTCGCCCTCTTCATCCCAGTCTGGAAACATGTGCAACTTTCCAACCTCATCCACCAAAAGTGGGTCCCTTGCGACCAGAGGATTTTTCGACTCGGACAAAAACAAACTCGGCGAAAGAAAGCTTTCGAATGAACAAAGTAACCAACGATTTTCCATTGAAATATGACTCCTTCGAGGCCATTTATACAGCAACCTTTCATCTCGTTTCGTCTTCCCGTTTAATTACAAGTTTAATATCAAAAACCACTCTCGAAAAATTGAGATTTATCTTTATTAGTGCGCTTACAAGCTTGTAAATTTTTGTAGACGTTTAATTCGAAAAATGCGGAGAATTTTATAAGCTTAAAAATGTAGGTGCTTTCAGCTCAAAAGAAATATTTCCTCGATATAAATCTCGCTGAATTCAGCTCTCAACTCTGCTGAAATAAATGAATCCTGTTTGAATGTAGATTCTAATCCAATTTAAGTTTGGAACTTTTTTATGAATTATGTTTGGTATTGCACACGACTGTTCACTACACAGGAAAAATTTAATAAATATGTTCGATATTCTCAGGGGCGTTGAAGGATCCCGTCAAAGATGAAATATTTTCACATTTTGAGCCTTACACCTCAACCTGGATATATCTTATTTTGTGAAGGCTGGGAAAATGAAATAAAATAATTCCTGAAAACAGGCTGAAAATTTTCCTGTGGCGTTTTTCAGGTGCCGGAACTCCGACTGTTATTCCCCAACGGGTCTTTGGTTTTTCCCCCGTTTCCGAACGAGAGATACCGACATGACGTCCACGCGGCGCTCTACAGGTGCAAACTGAAAAGTTCACTGGGGACGGTTGTCAGCAGGGAAGTGCATGTTAAGGCCGGTAAGTGGCTTGAGATGTCCTATTACATGTCGGTCTCGAAATGCTGGTATTGACAGAATTTGGGATTTGAAGTGAATCGAGGAGTGGAAAATATTGATGAAATGACAAACGGGACTGTTCTCCAAGATGCAAGATTTTAATAAGAATCTTATCTTGTTTGAGCTCAACCAAAAAATATAATCCAAACGATTTCAGTGCAAAAATCGGCGTTTTCGGACAAAATAAGGCTATTTCAGCTACCAGTCCAAATGATTTTTATGAATTTTTTTCTGACTATTTGCACAAAGCAATATTTCCTAATTAAAAATGTAGATTAGAACTTTATAATACTGACAAGAAATAAAATTTTGCACCAACAATTTGTCAAACTTGAAAAAAAAACAATTTTTTTACACAAATTGTCACATCCTGAAGTGATTTGTACAAAGCAATTTTTTTTATAGATTTATGACTTTTTTTGAAAATTCCTAATTTTTATAGTTTGAATTTTTTTTGGATATTATCAACTTATGACTTCAAAATTTAAAAAACTTGGTTCTGATTCTATCATAAGCCAGAAGTCAAATTTTGTTCAAACAGTTTATCCAATTTGAAAAAAAATGCAAATCAAAGAATTTCTTGTTCAAATAGTTAAACCGTGAAGTGATTTATACGAATTTTATATTGTAAACCTGAAACTAAATTTTTGTATTTTTTTTAACTGGAAACTGAATAATCTTAAAACAAAAAACGTCAAGATTGACGTAATTTTTATAGTTTTCTCAACCAGAGTAGTTTTTTTCAAAATTTTTGTTTGAATTTTATAACGAAAATTAAAAAAATCTACTCATCTTATGACTTAATTTAAAAAAATATATTTTGATCCTGATTCTTTCACACAGACAAAAAATAAAATTTTATTCAAACAGTATGTCCAACTTAAAAAAAACAAATCAAAGAGTCTCTTATACGAATTTTAGATTATAAACATTCGGAAGCTACATTTTTTCAGTAAACTGAACTAAAGTGTTAAAACAAAAAACGTCAATATCGACGTAATTTTTATAGTTTTCTTAATCAGAGGAATTTTTTTCAGGATTTTTGTTTTTTTGCTTTGTACTAAACAAATAACAATTGGGTTTTATATGACTTAATTTCAAATAATTCAAAATTCAAAAAACTTGGTCCTAATGTTATCATAGACCAGAAATGAAATTTTGTTCAAACAGTTGGTACAACTTTTCATGAATTTTTTTGGACTATTTGCACAAAGGGTTATTTTACAACAAAAAGTGTAAATTTGGCAACATTGCCCTGATTTTATAACACTGACAAGAAATAAAAGTGTGCCCAACAATTTGTCCAACTTGAAAAAACTAATTTTTTTACATAATCATTTATACAAATTTTAGGTTATAAACTTATTGAAGCTAATTGGTTTAATACTTTTTTGGAAATTAAAAAAAACTGAAGTCTTATAAGTCTTATAACTTATAACAAAAAACGTCAACGTAGACAGATTTTTATAGTTTTCTTAATCAAAGTGAAATTTTGTTCTTTTGCTTTGCAAAAAAGTTCAAAAATTGATCAATTTATGACTTAAGTAATTTCCAAAAATTCCAAAATTTGGTTCTAGACCAGAAATAAAGTTTTCTTCAAACTTTTTGTTCAACTTGAAAAAAAAGCAAGTCAAGGAATTTCTTATCTTATCTCATAATTTAAAAAATACGACTTTGGTTCTGATTATATCACACTGACAAAAAGTTAATTTTTGTTAAAACAGTTTGTCCAACTTGAAAAAAAAACAAATCAAAGAATTTGTTATGCATCGTGAAGTAATTTATACAAATTTTATATTATAAAGCTAACATTTTTTTCATTAATTTGTGACTTTTTTTTAATTACGAAATGGAGTTTTAGTTTTCTTCACAGTTAATTTTTTCAAGATTTTTTTTGGGATTTGAAACGGATCGAGGACTGGGAAATATTGATGAAATGACAAACGAGACTGTTCTCCAAGATGCAAGATTTTAATAAGAATCTTATCTTGTTTGAGCTCAACCAAAAAATATAATCCAAACGATTTCACTGCAAAAATCGGTGTTTTCGAACAAAATAAGGCGATTTCAGTTACCTGTCTGGTTTTCAGAGAGAAATCTTTTCATGATTTTTTTTCTGACTGTTTGCACAACGCGCTGTTTTACAACAAAAAATTTAAATTCAGCAAAATTGCAATGATTTTATAACATTGACAAGAAATAAAATTTTGCCCAACAATTTGTCCAACTTGGAAAAAACAAATTTTTTTACATATTCATTTATACAAATTTTAGGTTATAAACCTATTGAAGCTAATTGTTTTCATCGATTTGACTTTTTTGGAAATTAAAAAAAAAACTGAAGTCTTAAAACAAAAAACGTCAACATCGACGGATTTTTATAACTTTCTTAATTAGAAATGAATTTGTTCAAAATTTTTGTTCTTTTGCTTTGCAAAAAAAAGTTCAAACATTTATCAATTTATGACTTAAAAAATTTGGTTCTGATTCTATCATAGACTAGAAATTAAGTGTTGTTCAAACTTTTTGTTCACCTTGGAGAAAAAATAAATCTAAGAATTTCTTATCTTATCTCATAATTTAAAAAAATACGACTTTGGTTCTGATTCTATTACACTGACAAAAAGTTAATTTTTGTTCAAACAGTTTGTCCAACTTGAAAAAAAAACAAATCAAAAAATTTGTTATGCAAATACTTACATCGTGAAGCAATTTAAACAAATTTTAGATAATGAAGTTAATTTTTTTTTATCAGTTTGACTTTTTTGAAAATTACGAGATGGAGTTTTAGTTTTCTCAGTCAGAGTAATTTTTTTCAAGATAGTTACTCTTTTAGAWTAAATTTTTTAACAAAAATTTAAAAAATCTGTTCAACTTGATTTAATTAAAAAAAACTTGATCCTCATTCTATCACACAGATAAAAAATGAAAGTTTATTCATACAGTTTGTCCAACTTGAAAAAAAACAATACAAAGAATTTATTATCTAAATGCATCTCGTGATTTATACGAATTTTAGATTATATAAACCTTCTAAAGCTAAATTATTTCATCAATTGATAATTGAACTAAAGTGTTTCTTTTTTCAGAATTCTTGCTTTTTTGATTTGCATTTTGTAACCAAATTTTAAAAAATCTGATCAACGTGATGATTTAATTTCAAAAATCATAACCTGTTCTTACAGACAAAAAGTGAAATTTTGTTTAAACAGTGTGTCCACCTTGAAAATAAAACAAGTCAAAGAATTTCTTATTCAAATAATTAAATTGTGAAGTGACTTATAAGAATTTTAATTTATTAAATTGTTTAAAAAATGATCAATTTATGACTTAATTTCAACAAATTCAAAATTTAAAAAAACCTTGCCTTCATTCTATCACAGACAAAAAATAAATTTTTGTTCAAACAGTTTATCCAACTTGAAAACACCCAAGTGATTTAATTATACAAATTATAGATTTAAAGCTATTTTTTTTCATAGGTGTGTGACTTTTTTAATTACGAGATGGAGTTTTAGTTTTCTTCAGAGTTAATTTTTGCTCTTTTTGTTTGAATTTTATAACCAAATCTAAAAAATCTGATCAATTTATGATTTAATTTTCAAAGATATAACTTGGTCCTGATTGTACTACAAAGTCAAAAATTAAATTTTCTTCAAACAATTTATCCAACTGGAAAAAAGCGAATCAAAATTATTTTTATCCAAATAGTTAAATCGTAAAGGGATTTATACGAAATCTAGAATGCAAACCTGAAGCTATTTTTTTCATGGATTTGTTGCTATTTTTAGAAAACTGCAAACTAGATAATTTTTAAAACGAAAAACACCTCAAGGGTGACGAAATTTTTACAGTTTTCTCAATCTGAGTAAAATTTTTGCATTTTGGGTTTAAATTTGGTACAAGACAATTAAAAATCTGCTCAGCTTATGACTTAATTTCAAAAAATATACCTTGGTCCTAATTCTATCACACAGGCAAGAAGTGAAATTTTGATCAAACTTAAAAAAAAAACAAATCAAAGAATTTCTTATCCAAACACATCATGACTTGATTTATACGAATTTTAGATTATAAACTTCCTGAAGCTAAACTTTTTTCAGCGATTTGTGACTGAACTAAAGTGTTTAAACAAGAAACGTCAATATCGACGTAATTTTTACAGTTTTTTTTATCAGAATAAACTTTTTCAAGATTCTTCTTTTTTTAATTTACAATTAGTAACAAAATTTTAAAAATCTGATCAATTTTTGATTTAATTTAAAATAATATAACTTGGGAGAATTTTCGGTTATTATTAATTTCCTACTCCACTTGAACTTATCTCAAAATCAAAATGACTCACTTATGGGTTTTCAAGTGAATTTATGAGCTAAAATAGAAAATAATCAACATATTTGCACTTTTCAATCGTAAGTTGGTATAGAACCGAAGTTTTTCTTATTTTTTATTATTAATATTATTACTACTCTACATATCAAAATTTTACGGCACACACAATTCACATATTGACCAAGTTGTTATTGCTTTAATATTCATCTTTGATATCTTGTGTAATTGGCGTGTAATTTACATTGATTTTGAGGAGTTATTTGAAGAACACCGTGATAAATTAAAAAAAGCTGCGAGTTATTTGAACAAAATCAATTGAATCTGCCTCTTTTATCTCCCATCTAGGCTGAAAAATTGCGAATCAGGTCGTCACTAATCCTTGCAAATTGAAATGCCTTCAGATGTCTTAATTAGCCGCCCCCCTTTGTAGGTACAAGTCGCTAAATCCGATGTATTTTGATACGCTTGCGGTTGCCTCCGAAACAAAATAGCTAATCAATGCGAGGGTGTGGTGTAGTTAACCCCAACCCTTCAAAGTCTGTACACGTGTTCCACAATCAGCACTAATTACCCCATCTAAGGCAAATGCCGCGAAATGTTATTTTCAATTAAGCAAAAAAGCCTCGAATT